CACCCTAATGCAGGTTGTCCAAACCTGCCATCACTGTTTCTCAGTTCGCCCAGAGAGAGAGAGACTGCCTGGAGCACAGAGCCTTTCTTATCTTTGAAACTTACATTAAGAATAAAGTGAGTGCTGTCTAGCTTGTGTTTGGAATTCATGACAGTTTACGGTAGGTTCATCATTTTTCTGAATTTTTATGAGCCACAAATATTCAACTTCCACTTTAAAAACTGTTTTACAGCCCAGAAAAAACCATTTCTATCAAAACTTCATTAACACGGAACAGTATGGAACAAGAATGGATATAACATTATTTACTATGGCTTCAGAACAAAAGCTTTCATCCATGCTCTATTTGCAAATACTACTGTAGACAGAAAAACAAGGATGTTTTACTCTCAGAGAATAGGGGGAATATATCAGAAACAATTTAGTGACATTAAAACATTTAGGTGTGTGTCTCAACTGGAATGATAGGCAGTTTTCATTCTAGAGCAGGACTGTCCCTTTTTGCAAAAAAAAAAATGTTCTAAGTCTGCACTGTTCGGTTCGGTGGCCACCAGCCACAAAGGGCTAATGAGCAACTAAACTGTGACTAGTGCTGAACTTTTAATTAAATTTAAGTAACCACATGTGGCCAATGGTAACTGGAGTGGACAACAGGGTTCTAAGAGCATGGCATTACTTTGTGAAACTAATGTATCAGCATTTAAAAATGCTGATTCACAAAGTTGGGCAAAACGCTTCTGATTACTAAATTACCAGACATCCAAAAGTTAGTTCAGTTGACCCTTGAACAACATAACTGACTCTGCCTGCCCCCCAGTCAAAAATCTGCATACAACTTTTGCCTCCCCCCAAACTTCACTGCTAATATCCTGCAGACTGAAAGCTTTACCAGTAACGCATACAGTTGATTAGCACATATGTCGTATAAAAACTATACATTGTATTTATAATATAAAGCAAGCTAGAGAAAAGAAAACGTGAAGACAACCATAAGGAATATATTTATAGTACTGTGCCACCTTTATGGGAAAAACTCTGTATATAAGTGGATCCACACAGTCAAACCTGTGTTGTTCAAAGGTCAGCTGTATTTTGCTAGTAAAACAGAACTATCTTTTATTTTAACCAATCACTGTAAGGTGACTAAGATACATTTCAATACATTTTACCAGAAGAGTATCTTATTTGACTGCTAAACAAAGAATTATGAATGGAAGTTCTCTGCAGTAATTTCTAAACCTTGCCAGTACCCAGTGTTCTTTAAAACCTTCTAAAAGTTAAAAAAATAAATAAATGAGAAATGGGGATCTGTTTTAGAGAAAAAGATCAACAATTTCCGTGAAGTGTCCAAATAAAAGGTTAAGGTCAAACCTAAGACCACGATAGCCCTTGCAATGAGAAAATTAAGAAGAAATTGTGAGGGTTAAATAAAACCTTTGAAGACTGTAGATGAAATACTCAAATGCCTGCTTATAATCTTTAATTTATTAACTCGCACAGATTTAAAGATACATTACATAAGGCAATATGTTAATTCATGAAACCATCTTATTCTATTTCACTTTCAACCTCCATGTTATCAGGGTGTCTGTGGTCACTTCAGCCCCTCTGAATGACCGAATTCCATTTTCTAGAGCACGTCACCTTCGCATCTACCACACCAGCTGTGATAGAAGGCTTTTTGAATCCACACACGATGCTCTCATTGGAAATCTCAACCAACCAAAGCCATCAATACCTATTCAGGAGGGCAGGGCATTTTTTCAGTCATCACTGACTGGACTGATTCATTGTATAAACATACCAGAGTAGCATCAACTGAGGTTGTTTCAGTGCAATACGTATTTCCCAAATGGCATCCAGTTGTTCAAAACAGACTAACTGAGAGGGCCCTGTGAGAGGAAAGATTTGAACATGTGGTGACACCCTCTTTACAGAGAGATGTTTGGGGGGAGCTTGGTCTCGGAATCAGGTATACACAGTAGATCCCTGAAAACAACTTTTAAGAGGTAAGGATGCCTGGGATGATCTAAGGGCTGCTTCTTCACGCCTTCTGTAAATGCTCTCTAAGCTTCCAGATTTGGAAAGAAATGCCTGTCTCTGCTAAGCAGTCATTTTCCTTTTTGAGTCACAGGCAGACAAAAAGCTGCCAGGACAAGTGGATGGATGGGCCTTCCCTACATTTAATCCAATCCCACACCACCGCAGGCACAATCTTTCCAAAAAGCTCATCTGTCGGCACTGTGCCCCAGCTTTAAACTTTCATTTCCCGCGCCGGGTGTGGAGGATGAAAACATTCAGTCTTCATGGTGCCATTTCTAGGTTACTCTGATCCACCTCTGCTTACCTAACTGGTGACACCCCACTCTCTCATCTCAGGGGCTCTGGCCAAGACTTCTCCATTGACTGGAGGCACCTCCTTGCACCGGCATTCCAACCTGGTTAAATCCTACGCCTCCACACGGCTCAGCCCCTTTCACTGCTGAACCCAGGAACAACTGGTCTCACTGCTCGCCACACTATGTGTTTCCTACACTACCACGACTAACACCTAATACTTATTGAGCGTATGCTACTGCTTAGACACGATTTTAAGCACCACACAGAGATCATCTCCTGTACACCTCAACAGCCCTGGAAACTAGGTAACATTCTTTGGAGAGGAAAGCTGAGGCCCATAGGAGTCAGATACTATCCTTAGGTTTCATAGTGGAAACTCAGGTCAGCTGGCTTCAGGGTCTGAGCCCCGACCCTTTACAATGTCCTCCTGCCCAGAAAGGTTCGACATGAAACCAGAGGCTTCCTGAAGGCTTACCAGTTGCTTGTGAGAGAACGATCAGAACAACTGCTACCTGAGAAGCTTCCCCTAGCACGAAAGGAGGCTGGAAATGACTCCCAGTAGTGTCCACTGGATAATGGTGGTTTAACAGAGGGTCCCTAGGGCTCCCTTCCAGCTAAAACCAATCATCCAAACCCAAACCCCTTCCCTTTCTTCCCATGATGTCCTTCACAGGTGTTACGAAGGACATCGGTTTGTGAAAACAAAACCCCCCAAACCAGTTACTGAGCAGTTACGCGAGGCCTTCATCTAGCTTCACAGGGACAGAAGCACACGTAAACTTCACATTTATGGGCAGGAGCAACAACACTATTCCAAGACACAATAACCTGATTTATTGTTTGATGACAAAGAAAAACACTCAAGGCAAGTCCACCCATTGGTTTCCTAGTTTAACCCTGCACTTTCAGAGGCAAGAAGGATTTGTAATTCATAAAGAAAATCAAAGTTACCTGCTTCACATTTAACACGAAGAACTTAGGCCTACAAGGAATCTAAAAGGTATTTTCCCTGAAAGGAAATTACAACAGCTACTACTTAGTGCTTTCTATATGTCAGGCATTTTCACATTCCTTATTCCCCCCCCCCCCCCCCCTTTCTGGTACCCTTTCAAAGATCCACTTTTAAGTTATCAGTCCTCACGTCCTTTTACAGAACAGGAAGCTAAGGCTCAAAGAAGTTACACGGATAGTTACATGGTTTCAGCCTTAGGTCTACAGAGTCATCAAGCCCCAGCCATTACATGAAGTTTCTCCGAAGTTTAAAGATGTGTTAAAAACTCCCTTTCCTACTCTCACTTTCAAGCAGGGCTGCGAGCACGGGGAGCGGCCGCCGTGTCCTCCTCCCACCCCCCGACTCAGGTGTGTCCCGCCCTTGTATCACCGAAGAGCAGACAACCTCCACCCTCGCTGTTCCTCCAGACGGGGCACCCAACTACTCGTTCCCGGGAGTCCCCATTCCAAGATTTCAATCTGCAAGGTCAGAGTTTGGGTAATTGAAGGCGAACGCCGCATGGGATTGGCAGACTTACCTTCTGATCCCAGAACCATACAAGCTGCGAGATCCGCAGTGTAACGACACTTTCACAACTGATGGGAAAACTGCATGAGGCTTTCAAGTCGTCCACTTCCGCTAAGTCTAAAATGACACCACTATTTCTAACCATCAACTGCCTTCGGACCAACGCCTCACCTGATACATTTTCAAAAAGCCCCGGAGCTTCGCGAGTACCGCCTAAGCGCACAAACCTCTTGCTGTCATGAGTTAAAACAACCTCTGAGGCAGCCTTGCAGGTCGGTATCCTCCAGCAGCAACTAGTCTAACTCGAGATCCCCGCCCTGTCACATGCAGAGGTCGATTTCACACCCGGCCACCCGCAAGCACCATGTGCGAAGTTTAATCGTGAGTTCGGCCAAAAGGCATTTCCTTTTTCCTTAAATGAAAAGGAGATGCGGACCTGTGCTCCTGCCCCGGGTGCCCGGCGCTCAGGACCCCTTCCCGGCGGGTGCCCGGCAGCCGCCCCGGCGGGACCCACCCCGAGCAGGAACGCGGAGCCCTTCAGGTGTAGCCGCGGACTGCAGGCCACGCCGCCCGCGGCCGCCTGGGACTCGCAGGCCGAGGGCGGAGGCGCGGCCGCCGCGCCCGCGCACAGCCGGCCCCGCCCGCCCGCCCGCCCCGCCCCCACCGCCCCGCCGGCGGGAGCTGCAGGCGCGCGCCCCGCCTAGGCCTCGCCGCGCGCCGCCGCGCCGCCGCCCGCGCGCCCTCCCTCCCGGCCCCCGCCCGCCCGCGCGCGCGCTCGGCTCGCGACCCCCTCCCCCGGCCCTCCCCGCCCGCGCGCCCCGCACTCACTGAACATCCCAAGCGGCTCCGGCTCCTCCCGCCGCCACCGCCTCCGGGATCGTGTTGCTTCCGCCTCCGTCGTCTCTGCCGCAGGGTCTCGCTCCGACGGCCGGCTCAGCCGGGCCCCCGCGCCCCGCGCCCTGCCGCCCCCGCGGCGGCGGCTATGGGCGGCCGCTCCATGACTGACTGACACGGAGCGGGCCGCGGGCTGGGCCGCTCGGGCCTCCAACGCGCAACCGTCTCCACCAATGGGCGAGGCGCCTCGGCGCTCTGCTGGCGATGCCTGGCGTGCGCGCCGCCCCGCCCCGCCGCGCCGCCGGCGTCGGGCGGAAGGAGCGCGGGGGCCGCTCCCACGTGGTGGGGCAGTGCGGCCGTCGCGACCTGCGGCCGCCTCCACCGTCCCGCGTCCCGGCCCACGGTCTCTAAGCGGGGCTGGCCTCCAGGTGAGCGCCTTAACCTGCGGACTGCGCTCCCTCCGCGCCCGCCGCTCTGCTCGGGGCGGGGCGTGACGTCAGTTTACCTGGGGACGTCCTCCAGGTGAGTCCCTCACGGAGGGCCGGCCCCGAGGTGAGCATTCCCTGCGGGTTAGGCGCTACGTCCCGGCCCAGGGTCCCTATCCGGGGTTGGCCTCGAGGTGGGCTCCTTAAGCGAGGAGGACTCTCCGCCCTGGGTCCGCCCCGGCCCCTCCCGCGGCGGCGAGCGCAGGGGAGAGCCATCAGGGCTCACTCTTTCGGCCGCCCCTTTTCGTCGCTCCTTGGCTGCTCTCTGATTCTGTTACTTGGTTTCATTACGCTCTGCGGGGTTCCGAGCGTGGCCGCACTTGAGCGCCCTTTGCGTGGGTAACAACGAGGGTTTGCGTCCGGCGTGGAGCTCTTCACGCCGTCTCGCAGAGACCGCTGGATGGCACCGGGAGCAGAAAGTTGGTAGTCTCCGGGAGGGCGTCTGGGGCGTCTTTGTAACCAAGTCTGCAAACACATTTTAAGTACTTTGTAGCCGGCACGATGGCTTTCTGACACACTGATTTAGAAGTTAAGTTCTTTGAATGGGCGCGTAAGGACGTTTTGACAAAATGGGAAAACTAACAGCCCTTGACTCTTCTTTAGTAGAGTGAAGGATGCTGTGCTGATAGTAGTGTTCTTCACGCGGTGTTTGCTCCTTCCTTGTAGTTACCGATTGACGTTAAGTTCTGAAGGTAGGTAGGGTTTCAGGCTTCATAGATTGAAGAATTTCAAGTGATCCAGCCCTTCATAAAGCAAAGTTTTGCCTAGATAGTATATTAAAATCACGGGACTGCAATCTTTTTTTTTTTTTTTTGCTGTTGTTCCATTTTGTTTTTATTTGTATTTTAATTTCAGTACTAAATAGGAAAAATTTTCACTTTTGAGGAACTTGTTTTCTTTTATATAACGAATATGACTTAACGTGATAGGTTTCTCCTTTTTATGACTTTTAGGAAACTCAAAGCTGTATTTACTTCAGGTTTATAGAATCATAGCTGGTCAGTATGCTTGCTTTCCTTAATGATTTTATTGTATCTTATTGTTACCGTTTCAATTGTGTAACTTTTTTGTGGAGTCTTTTCTGAAGCAGAGGGTGTCTTTAAACTTATATGTATATAAATGGAATAAAATTGTAGTGGAAAGTTACTGTTGCAGCTAAAATAACAGTATATCTGTTGGGACTAGATTTATACTATATTTCTTTTTTACCTTGTGAAATGTTACTTTCTCCAAATATTGCTTATTTCTCTCTGGAAACAATTTAGTGGAGCTTGTCATATAGATGATACATAGTTTCAGGTGATTTATGCAGATATTTTGGGGAAGTTTTCAGTCTAAAACCACACATGAATCTCCTTTCACAAATAATTTGAACACTTTGGGTTTTGTGCGGTTGTATTCCTGCACATTCACATCTGAGGATATGATGTTTGATCACAGCAGGAATACTTGTACATATGTGTGTGTAGTTCTTTTTATGCCTGCTTTGGTCAGACTTTCTCCAAGAAAATTCATGGGCTAAAGCATTTTATGTATCGATTTGTGCCCCACAACTCTGTTGATGTATTTTAGTTCGTAAAAAAATTTTATTAAGGAATGTATATTATATAGTTAATAAGATACGTGATATATTTTTTTTTTGGTGCCTATTGAGTTTGACCATAATATAATAAATACTATTTTTCTATTTTAAATTTTAGATAAAGTGTAGCAATGGCTGCTGTTTATTCTGGCATTTCCTTTAAGCTCAAAAGCAAGACAACTTCTTGGGAAGATAAACTAAAACTAGCTCACTTCGCTTGGATTTCCCACCAGTGCGTTCTTCCAAATAAAGAGCAAGTAAGTTTAATGTGAAATTTACAATTTTTTTTACAACTAAAAAGAATGGTCACTTACATAAATTATATATTGAAATTTAATTAAAATTTAAAAAGAGAAAAGGTTGGGGAAGGGAACATAGAGGTTAAAAGTAATGTCAGCGAAAAAAAGTGAGTCAAATATTTCATTAACAAAGTTTTCCTGTTACAAAGTCAACATTTCTTTTGTGTTTAGAGACACCTCTCAAACTAAGTATGAGCATCAGTGAATGAACTGGGAACTGGGTTACAAAACTTAGGATCTGAGTCTGTGGGTAGCTCCATTTATTTGTAAATCCAGGGTGATGCTCTATAAGCAACTGCTTTTTGGTAATTTGTTAAACATCTTTGGAATTTGACCAGCTGGGAAGTAGAGAAGCTTTAGTATTTGTAGTAAGCCATCCTAGAAATAGGTTAGGAACCAAGAAAAGCATGTCTTGTTGTTAACGTTTTTTAAGCTTATTTGGCAAAAAATAATACTGTTAATACATTAGAGCCCAGGATGTTAGGCTCATGCAATTGTGTTAACATACAGCCATATGCCGGTATTAAAGAAGACCGCACAAAATGTGTCAAAGATGGGTTACGTCTGTTAAGTTGGGTGATGATGATGTATGGTATGCAGCACACTCTCACATCCAGTGGGTTCTAAACCGGGCTATACCTGAGAATCACCTTGCAACTTGATAGTCACCTGGCAGGTGCTACCCAGGGTGAGCTAAAAGGGGAAGTAGTAGTGGCAGTTTCATCAAGGTCTCCCTCGTCTTATGCTGAAAACTTTTTTCCCTTTCAGCATCTGTCACAATTCATACTGTTACAACACTTCTCTTATCATGAGCTGAGGCCTCACCGCCTTGACAGACATGTCACAGTAATGACCCCCCTTTTCATATAGCACTTGTGCATTATTTCGCAGAAGACTGCCCCTTCCTTCCGGATGAGGTAAATACATCTAGAAGTTTTACAGGTCACATGGAAAGCCAACACAGACCTCTGTCTTTCGGCTCTGCGTTTTTGCTTCTGTTTGTGATTTACTTTGTGGCCATTTTGAGCAATTGTTGTACTTCTAACTTTTGAAATTTAGTATAACTTGAGAAGACTCAGGAGAAGCTGTTAGAGTTTCACTTGAAAATTTTTATTGGCCTCAGATGATGATAAAATTAGTTTCTTCTTTTTTCTTTTCTTTTCTTTTTCCTTTCATTTATTTTTGAGAGAGTGAGCAAGCAGGGGAGAGGGGCAGAGGGGGAGAGAAAGAATCCTGAATAGGCTCCATTCTCAGCGCGGAGCCTGACCCTGGGATTACGACCTGGATTGAGAGTTGGATGCTCAACCAACTGAGCCACCCAGATGCCTCTAGTTTTTTTTTGTTTTTAACGATTCTTTAGTAATAAGCATTTTAAGTTACTAGGACGTCATATTATATATAAAATAATATTACCAAAGGTAGGTTTTAAAGGACAGGTTTTTCCCTGCCAATTGGATTTGATTATACATGGAATGTCCTCGTAAATGTCCTGCATCTTTCTTTCTTGGTAAGGAAATACATATTTCTTCCAAATTCAGGTACTGCTTGATTGGGCAAGGCAGTCATTGATTGCATTTTATAAGAAAAAACTTGAACTGAAGGAAGACATTGTTGAAAGGCTTTGGATCTATATAGATAATATTCTCCACAGCAGAAGACTGCAGAATCTTCTCAAGAATGGAAAGACAATTAACCTTCAGATCTCCCTAGTTAAGGTGATTATCTGTTTTCTGTGTTATCCTATTTGTGTTACGTGCACCTCTGTTGATTTTCCTGTTAATGCTATAGCCTTGTTTATTTTTGGGTAAATTATTGAAGATCTAGGAAGTATCAAGGTAGAGAAACAGGAGAAGGAAATAATACTACTAGAATTTTATTAACGACTGATACTTATAGAATGCATTTTGTATGCTCTATACTGTGCTCTACACTTTATGTTTAATATTCAAGGAGAGCTTAGAACTATTTCAGAATAGGGGGTGATTATCTTTTATTAATTAATTTTAGAGAGAGAGAGAGAGCAGGCAAACAGAGGAGAGTGACAGGGAGAGAGAGGGACAATCTTAAGCAGGCTCCACGATGCGGAGCTTGATCCCACGACACCCTAGGATCATGATGTAAGCCAAAATCGAGTTGGACACTCAACCCACTCGACACTCAACCCATCAGAGCCACCCAGATGCTCTGATGACCTTTAAAAAAAAGTTTTTTTAAATGTTTTTTTCATTTTGGGGAGGGGGGATCAGAGAGAGAGGAAGACACAGAATCTGAAGCAGGCTTCAGGCTCTGAGCTGTCAGCACAGAGCCCAATGTAGGGCTTAAACCCATGAACTGCGAGATCATGACCTGAGCTGACTGAGCCACTTAGGCGTCCCACGATTCCTTTTTGATTGGAAAGGTGGCCAGCAGATTATGCTACTTTGTGATTCACCCTCCACCTTTTCCATTGGCCTGCAGGAAGATGAAAGGCCAAAATCTGGACAGGAATTTCCTCAAAGATTTTTGAGTCAAAGTGATTTGGAAGTCTCAGAATTATGAACTTTGGTGTCAAAACTGAGTATTTTTGAAATAGTGTGAGAATAGTTGGTGACAATAAAAAGAACTAATAATAAGCACTTGGTGTGTGGGGGGCTCAAAGAGTTTCAGTAACTTTTACAACCCAACACAGCTAGTAAGTGGCACAGCTGGGATTTGAACATAGATCTTCCTGATTACCAAGCAAAAACCTGTGTTCTTATCCATCATTCTCCTTCACCCACGTGAGTGTGCACGCAGAAAGAGAAAATCAGTGAGGCTGATAATATTTAATATTTGAGCTGCCTGATGGTTCAGAGGCTTTAGTGGTTCTTGAAATTATGTTCTCAATTATATGTTACATTTTAAAATAATTGGTGATCAGCAAAGTGGGTTATTCCGAATTGTCCTTTGGGAGTATGGAAAGGAAATCTTAAGCTTTTAAATGTCATGTTTTAACTTTATGCATGTTTTATGTTTACATGAGTTATTAGTATGATAATATATGCATGTGGTTTATAGATAAGTTAGCCTTTTTGGGTACAAACGTGAAAAAGTTAGGAAGACAAGTTGTATAGTCAGAAATGTTTAGAGTCACTGTAGCAGTGACTTGGCATTTAAGTATCTGACATTCTTGTTTCAGGTTTTCCAGAGCCAGCAGGTGCTTGAATAGAGATAATCACACCTGTGTCATTGGGCTACTATAATTTAGCACTCAGGATAAATTTGATTCTCAGATGTTGTAAGGCTGGGAAAGCCACTTAGTGAATTTTGGAAGAAGAAGACTGTGGGTTTGCCAATGTTTGCTTTCCTCTTGTTTTTTTCCCTTAATGTTTATTTATTTATTTTGAGAGAGAGAGAGTCCCAAGCATTCTTTGCACTGTGAGTGCAGAGTCTGATGTGGGGCTTCATCTCATGAACCGTGAGACCATGACCTGAACCAAAATCAAGAGTTGCTTGACCGGCTGAGCCACCCAGGTGCCTCTTTTGTTTTCAGATTCTTTTTCAACGTTGGTTCATTTTTGAGAGACAGAGCATGAGCAGGGGAGGGGCAGAGAGGAAGACACAGAGTCTGAAGCAGGCTCCAAGCTCTGGTGTCAGCAAAGAGCCCAACATGGGCCTTGAACTCAGGAACTGTGAGATCATGACTTAACCAACTGAGCCACCCAGGCGCCCTTCTTTTCTTTTAAGAGTACCTTTTGCTTTGTTTTTTAAAATAGTGTAATTGTCTGTGAAAACCTATTTTGGACCACAGGATCATAGCCCAAAGCCACCGTCCATCCATGTATACCTTCTAAGTTGAATTTCAGGCCTAGGATATAAGGAAAAGTGATCTTTGGAGTTTAAATCTTATAAAAAAACAGCTCTTTAAAAGGGACAGAATGACAAAGGCACTGATCCCTGTTTTGAATTTATATTGGTAGGAGATGGCTGTGTGAAGGACTTCAAACAGGTACTCTGCCTTCCTTTGGTGCACTAAGCAAAGGTCAAGGTGATTTAGGTACGGTAACCTGGGGATGTCCTTCTCATCAAGATAAGGACAAAGAGTGAGCTCCTTGGTTCAGTTATGTTTCTCTTGTGTTTATGTGGGTGTTGTAATGCGGTGATGAGTTTTCTTTCTTTTTTAACGTTCAGATCATAAATGAGAGAGTAGCTGAATTCTCCCTTTCGGAATCCCAAAGAAGCACGTGTGCCATGCTGAGCTGCTGCCAGGGCATCCTCTCGACACCCGCCCTCGCCGTCATCTACACAGCGAGACAGGAGCTGCTAGTGGCGCTGCTAAGCCAGCTGTGCCGCCTGGCCTGTAGGCAGCCGGGAGGAGCCGAGGTAGCCCAGTTATTCGAAGTCATTCACCTGGCGCTGGGGCACTACCTCTTGATCCAGCAGCAGCAAGTCAACCCAAGACGTGCCTTTGCGGAGGTGACTGGGCACTTGCTCCAGCCCTGCCTGGTCCTGAGGCACTTACTCTCAGGGGGCACGTGGACACAGGGCCAGCTGCGGCAGGCGCTGAGCCGGGACGTTAGGAGTCAGATCGAGGCCATGCTTCGAGCTGGAGCCTTTCAGCCCGAGTTGCTCTCGTCCTACAAAGAGGAGCTCTTGGACCAGCAGCAAGGTGACACGAAGATAGGGGCCATGAAGAGTCTTCTAGCTCCTATGGACACTGTGATTGCCAGGCTGGTGGATCCTGGCTACTGTGAACCGTCCCTCCGTGCTGCTGTTATAGCCAGCTCCGTGGCCTTGCTGTATAAGCTCTTTCTGGATTCTTATGTCAAGGAGGGGAACCAGCTCCTCTGCTTCCAGGTGCTCCCCAGGCTTTTCGGCTGCCTGAGGATTTCCCAGCTGCAGGAGGAGCACGTGAGCGCCCTGACCACATCGGACTGGACCTCAGAACTGCTGGTTGTAGAACAGCTGCTAACGTCCGTGGCCAACAACAATATCTACAACATCGCCGCCGACAGGATCCGGCACGGAGAGGCTCAGTTCCACTTCTACCGCCGCGTGGCCGAGCTACTGATCAACCACTCACAGGCCTCTGTGCCCGCCTGGTTCCGCTGCCTCAAGGCTTTGATGTCTCTGAATCATTTAATTTTGGAGCCGGACCTGGATGACCTGTTGGCGTCAGCTTGGATCGATGCAGAGGTGACAGACTTGCGGACGAGAAAAGCCCAGGAGGCACTCATTCACACTCTCTTTCAGACGTATGGGAAGCTCCGGCAGGTGCCGCGGCTGTTTGAGGAGATTTTGGGGGTACTCTGTCGCCCAGCTGCTGAGGCCCTGAGGCAGCCCGTGCTGGCCTCGGGCCCCTCTCGGGTGCTCCGTGAGTGCCTCCTGGAGTTGCCTCCGAGTCAGATCTTGGACACGTGGTCCCTTGTGCTGGAGAAGTTCCAGTCTTTGGTCTTGCCTTATTTGCGGGGTGATGCCGACATGGCCTTGAAGTCGCTGTCGCTGAGCTCCCTGCTGCACTGCATCATGTTCAACATGAGGAGCCTGGACAGCAGCACACCTGTGCCCATCATCAGGCGGATGCAGCGCACCATGGACAGGATGCTCCAGGAGCTTGTGAAGCCCCTGCTGGACCTTCTCCTGGAGCCCCCGCGCCCAGAGCTGGAGCCTTGGCTGAGGAAGGTCAGTGACTCTGCACTCCTGCTCTCTTACACTTGGGCCCAGGTTGACACCATGCTCAGTATAAACTGTAGCCAGTACCAGTCTGCGTCTGGGGCTCTTACAGATGCTGTGGTGGAGATCCCAGGCCTCCCCTCATTGCTCCCAGGTGTTGAAACGCACCACTGGAAGAAGATAGAAAAGTTTACAGCTCAGTTTGACTCTCTTAGCAAGTACTGTTTAGAACAGCTCTACCTACAGAAAATGAAAAGGACTTTAGTGGAAACTAGTTTCCAGTCTGAAGAAGCCCTTTGCGCTCTGAGGCGTGACGCTGCCTACATCCTTGGTTCTGGCAGAGAAAGCTTGAATCAGAGGACAACCGCTTCCTGGGATGGCCAGGTTGGGACAGTGAGTACACTCACATACCCTGTAGCTCACTGGCACTTGGTTGTGTCAAATCTCACAATTGTAATATCTTATCTTTGTCCGAATGATGTGAGATCCTTGGCCAGTGTGCTGCTGAGAACTTTGCCAATGAGCAAAGCCCAGGAAGGCTCAGCAGAAGAAGAGCCAAGCATCACACTTGAAAAAATATCCAGTGCTGTCCTTCACAGCCCCCTCTTCCCAGAAATGCAACCCCTCCATTCTGCTTTCTTACTGTGCCTGACCGAAGGATGTGCTAGTGTCCTGCGTTCCGGGGCCCAGGGTGACCCGAGTCTCCTCGGTCAGCAGCTGCCCTGGCTTTTTGAAAAGGAACACACAATTGTGACTCTCTGGGAAAACCGATTTGCAAAAGTCGGACCCGAAGGTGTGGAACCAAAAGGAGAAATTGCCCAAAACTTACTCTCCTTGGTCAAGAGCGACTTCCCCGTTCAGCTGGGGGGAGAACAATTAGAGAGCATCCTGGGATTTTTGGAAGTTATTTCTGCTCTGCAGCTGGACAGCCTTTTGGCCCCCTATCACGTGCATTATTTTCTTCTCTTATTGTCCACGGCCGTCAGCAAGCTGGGGGCCCCTTGCCCTTGCCCGCTGAGCCTCAGGTGTTTGATGACTTGCTACCGGCTTCTTGGCTACCTGCAGCGAGGGAAGAGTGCCCGCTCAGTGCTCAAGATTCTATATGTTAGCGAGATCTTTGAGATCACTCTGACCTCATTGTTCAAAGCCAGTAGTAGATTTTCTGTTGATACGGATGACCCCTCCTGGTTGGAATTCCTCCAAGTGATAGGGACATTCTTAGAACAGCTACTGCAGATGCTTATCCAGACGAAGCTCAGCCTGGTGCTCAATTTTGGGAAAATCGTTGCATTCCTCCGTACACTGTACACCGAAGCAACTTCAGGCAAACAGGTGGAAACTCAGAATCCTCGGGGCCAGCAGCTCCTTCTGGTGTCTTTAACCAAGCTGTGCCAGGTCCTGGGGCCTCTTGTCCAAGAGCGGAAGCAGCAGCAGGAGCCCTCGGGTGCGCTGTCTGCGCTGCTGCCAGAGGCCGTTCTCCAGACAGGAGCTGTGCTGTCGCTGTGCTGGGCACGCGGGGCCCAGGGCCGGCGCCTCCCCTCCGCCCTCATCTCCTCGGTCAGCGCGCTCTTGGAGGCAGATGTGGGCCAGCGCTCCACGCACAGGACCGACGTTTCCCTGGCAACCGGCGAGAGGCTGCCCTCCCATACCGCCTTCTACCAGGACGTTTACTCTCAGCTGCTGTCCGGGTTACCGGCCCTTGCAGGAGACCCTCAGTCTTTCCAGGCAGCCATGCGGTTTTTGACTCTGTTCCTTTTGGCCCCAGAGCTCCATCCCAAGAAGGATGCGGTTTTCATCTCCATGTTTCATTCTGTGAGAAAAGTTCTGGCAGGTAAGGGATTTTCTCTTGAGCTAATTCTGTACCACAGAGCTGTGGGTGAAAGCTGGTAAGCCCCCGGCAAGGTGAGTGCCCCCCACCCACCCCCCTTTGGGAACAGCTGTTCCCTGCAGAAGGCACAGGCGGTGAGCCATGAGACAGGCCCCCCACGCCACTCCCAGGACCTCACGTCTGTGTCTGCCTTCTCTATGCATATGAACAGTTACCTCACGCGCTCTTTTCTTCACAGATAGCCTTCTAGGTATGGCTGTTTGACACCCTAGTTTTTTACTTACTTTGGGGATTGTTCTGGTTTATAGTTTTGAAATCTATTACTCTTTTTTTTTAGCTTTTATCTGTCTTGGCCCTGATGGTCAACATATGTAATTTCATCCTTCTCAGTAGGCTTTTTATGTCCTGTCTGCTGCCATCTTCAGTAACCTAAGCCAGCTTAAAGAGAAAAATGCAAATAATTTTTAGGGAGCCTCATAAAATTCCTTGAGGGCCGAACTTCCACCCCTCGGCCTCAGTGTAATGCCTGGCCATCGTCCGGCTACTGGTGCTGACTGGGCAGCAGCTTAGCTGGCCTCTTGGTCTTTTAGTTTGATATCCTCCTCCTGGGGCGGCCAGTCAGGACCGCAGACCCAGCCAGTGGCTGTGTGCAAAAGCGTTCGATAGCTGCTGTCCCCAAGGTCAAAGGCCCTTGGGCCAGACTTGTCTCCGTTTCAAGTTGACGTGGGTTTGTTTTCTTTTGGTTGTTACGGAGGGTTGGGGTTGGTTAGGATAGTCCTTAGAGGTTAGGCTGGGGAACGTGCTGGCTGGCGTGGCCCCCAGAAGGCGTGCCGACCTGTGTTTCCCAGAGGGAAAGCTGTGACAGGCGGGAGGGGCTGCGGCTGCAGGCCTGCTCAGTCACAAAAGCATTTAGTAGGACCTTGTAGGAAGCAGGGCTGCCTAGACCAGCACCAGGACCAGAGTGGTGAGGCCAGAATAACACTGCCGTCGTCTCCCTGTCTATAGCCTTTCCGTCCCCGCCGTGATTGTGGATCGACTGAAAAGGCTTTGGCGTCACATGTTCTATCTTATTCTGTCAGCGATTCTTTTATTTTTTTTTTTAATGTTTTTTTATTTATATCTAGGAGAGAGAGAGAGAGAGACAGCGTGAACAGGGGAGGGTCAGAGAGCGAGGGAGTCACAAACTGAAACAGGTTCCAGGCTCTGAGCTGGCAGTCAGCACAGAGCCCGACACGGGGCTCGAACCCACGAACCGCGAGATCATGACCTAAGCGAAAGTCGGACTCTTAACCGACTAAGCCACCCAGGCGCCCCATGTCAGCGATTCTTTTAGGCAATGCTGTTCCCCTTAGCGGAGGCTAGAATTTTAGTCTTTTACGGGCACTAGTTACAGTGTCCTCAAAGAGTGATCTAAGCAATGGCAGCTCGGAAGCTCTGGCCCCCCTTACCGTTTGTTACACAGATACTCCATGTGTCTTTTTTCCTCCAACCCTCTTGACTTGAGGTAGACTTGGTCCTAGCTTTGTGTCCCTGGTCTTGAGGGACAGAGCCTCTCTGTGCCGGAGGCCACCTGACCCCTGTCCCTCAGACCACGGGATCAGGTGTTGCTGTTGGGTCCAGGCCTCCTATCCTTGAGCTGCTAGGTTTTGTCTAGAAAAGGGACTAGAGTGAGAGGTGTGGAAGAGGTGCCTCCTGAGAACTCCCTCAGTTCAGTGATGAAAACCCATCGCTCTTACAAGTGCTTCATACATGCGTGGAACCATATCCTACTCTGGAGATGAATGCAGTGTTGATTTTTTTTTTTAAGTTTATTTGTTTTGAGAGAGAGAGAACGTGGGTGTGCACAAGGGAGGGGCAGGGAGAGAGGGAGAGAGAATCCCAAGCAGGCTTTGCACTGTCGGCGCAGAGCCCTGTTTGGGCCTTGATTTCCCGAACCGTGAGATTGTGACTGGAGCTGGAAGTGAGAGTCAAACACTTGACCAACTGAGCCACCCAGGTGCCCCTGCAGTGTAGATTTTGACCTACGTAATCAGTAAACATGTTCGCACAGATCACAGAGCAGTGCAGCACTCTCCAGAACACCAGAGCTGGGGACTGTGGGTTCGAGTGTGTGCAGGCTAACCATCAGGAAGCAGTGGCCTTCAAAGGGTGGGTGGGGTATGCAGACACGGTGGGCTGTGCTGCTGCTGAGCCTTCTCTGTGGCTGGAACTCTGCTTTGCCCTTTCTTTTATTTGCCAACCACAGGAGTTGGTGCAGTTATGCCCATTTCACTGATGATGGAATGGAGGCTCAGAGAGCTCAGGAGCTTGTTGGACAGTGGGGCTGTGGTCTTTATCCATCAAAGCATGTGGTCTCCTCCACCCCTGATGCTTATGTAGCAAGCAAAGACTGGGAAGGTATTCTGGCCATGTGGAATAGTCTGGTGAGCCGAAATGTGACTGGAAAGGTAAGCTGGGGTCAGATTATAAAGGGCCTTGAATGCCATGACCTGGGACCAGCCTTCCCTGGGAACATTGGAAGGCTTTCTGGCATTAATTGGGAAGCAGTTCCCTGAAGTTTAGAGTTCTTTTCATGTCTCTAAAAGAGCCACGCTGCTCCTGTGTCCCTACTGATTCTATAAAAGAATATGTGCACACCTTGTTTCATTGAGCTTTTTAAAAAAAATTTTTTAACACTTATTTATTTTTGAGAGAGAGGGAGACAGAGGGCGAGTGGGGAGGGGCAGAGAGAGAGGGAGACACAGTATCTGAAGTAGGCTCCAGGCTCTGAGCTATTAGCAGAGTCCGATACAGGGCTCGAACTCACAGACCATGAGATCATGACCTAGGCCAAAGTCAGAAGCTTAATAGGCAACTAAGCCCCCCAGGGGTCCCCATTGCTCTTTTCTTAATTGAGCTTCACAGAGATTCCTTTTTTTTTTTATAGTGTGCAGGTTTGTGACAACCTTGGTCAAGTAAGTCTGTTGGTACCATTTTTCCAACAGCATTTGCTCACCTCATGTCTCTCACATTTTGGTAAATCTTGCAATATTTCAAACTTTTTTTGTTGTTACATTTGTTTTGATCTGTGATCAGTGATTATAACTCACTGAAAGCTCAGATGGTGGTTAGCATTTTTTTAGTGACAATGTATTTAAAAAATTTTTTTAATGTTTATTTTTGAGAGAGAGAGAGAGAGAGAGAGAGCAAGTGCACATGAGTGGGGGAGGGCAGAGAGAGTGGAAGACAACAGAATCTGAAGCAGGGTCCAGGCTCTGAGCTGTCAATACAGAGTCTGATGTGGGGCTCAGACCCATGAACCATGAGATCATGACTTGAGCCCAGGTCAGATGCTTAACTGACTGAGCCACCCAGGTGTCCCATGGAAAAAGTATTTAAAAAAATTTTTGTTTTGATGTTTTTTAAATTTATTTCTGAGAGGGACGTGGAGGACCAGCATGAGCAGGGGAGGGTCAGAGAGAGAGGGAGACACAGAACCTGAAGACAGGCTCTGAGCTGTCAGCACAGAGCCCAGCACAGGGCTCGAACCCACAAACCGTGAGATCGTGACCTGAGCTGAAGTTGGACGCTTAACCGACTGAGCCGCCCAGGTGCCCCGGAAAAAGTTTTTTTTTTTTAAATTTTTTAATGTTTTTATTTATTTCTGAGAGAGAGAGACAGCGTGAGCAGGGGAGGGTCAGAGAGAGAGGGAGACACAGAATGTGAAGCAGCCTCCAGGCTCTGTGCTGGTTGTCTGCACAGAGCCCGATGCAGGGATCGAACCCACGAACCGTGAGACCATGACCTGAGCCGAAGTCGGACACTTAACCGACTGAGCCACCCAGGCGCCCCTGGAAAAAGTATTTTTAAATGAAGGTATGTGCGTTGTGTTTTAGATGTAATGCCATTGTATCTTAAATAGACGACAGTGTAGTGGAAACATGGTTTTTATCTGTGCTGCAAAACCGGAAAATTCATTTGGTTCACTTGATTGCGACCCATGCTCCCTGGCGGTGGTCTGGAGCCTGTCATGCCGTATCTCTGAGGTCTGCCTGTACGAGGAGAGTAGAAAACCATGTAGAGGAAGTAGCAGTCACCTGTGTGCAGAGCCCAGCGTGCAGCACTGGTAACCACCGTCATCCTCCCCCCCGCACCATGCGTGTCCGCACAGGTCACCCCCACCCTCACGCTGCGCGTGTTCTGCACAGGTCAGCCGCACGCGGGGGAGCGCTGTCACGCCGCACCCCACGCCCCACGAGTATTCCACACTCCTCAAATGGTGGCTTTCAGTGGCTGGGACTCTGTTCCATCCTGTGGTTTCTCCAGTGTATTTCACCTGCCCCTCTCCTGTCACGTCTTAGCCATTTGGATTTCTTTTCCACACAGATCCTGCAGTTTCCGGTCAGGCAATTCAGGACTTGGAGCCTCATTTGGGAGCCTTGTTCACCCAAATGTTAGAAGTTGGGACAACAGAGGACTTTAGGATGGTAATGCAGTATGTTCTCCAAGGATTAGACGTCAGTAACATGTGGAAAGCAGATGTGCAGGTGGGTACCCGTTCTCCCTTGTATGGCAGGGGCAGAAATGATCATCAGCTCAAAGGGGAAACCTTACTTGAGATGTGATGTTACCTCTGAAAATGAACACACAATATCAGCCTGGTAGAGACTGTGGGCCAGGGGGTTGTATGGAGGGAGCCGTGGCCTGCGGGGAGGCCTGGGACTTTAGTGTAAGGGGCCTTCTTTTTCAAAGGGGAACTTTTTCACGTTACAACTGTGTGTGCTGTTATATGAAATACTAAACATAGCGTCCTTATATTCTTGGCATATAAAAAAGCCCAGTTCTGCTCATCCTCTGCTTAAGGCATCTCTCATCATACTTTTTAAGACCTTGATTTGATTCGGTCACATGGCCCCGATCCTGTTTGAGAATCGCTCTGATTAGCGAGCTGCCCTGCAGTCTTTTGACCTTAGTGTATGTGGGGATTGCTAACAGAGCCCCACATTTGCACTCAGCACTGCGTATTTTGGAGCCTCTGCATGGAGCTTCCGTGCTGGCACTTCTGCTTGTAAATGGCTGCATGCCCCGGACTGATGAGCTGTCCCTGCTCGCACGGGAGGAGGAATGCCACAGCGCCAAGTATCTCAGAGCCAGCCATGCAGCCCATGCCTTCTGATTCTGAGCTTTCCCTGCCTCGTTGGGTGGCGTCTTGACCTGTGGTTATAATCAGCACACTGGCTTTGGGTTTGATTTGGATGGAGAGAGAGCTGGAGAGGGTAATTGAGGCCCTAGAGGGGCAGGAGGGCCAGCGCACATCTCTCGTTCGTGAGCAAGAGGCCCAGGCTGGACCAGGGCCACTGCTGTGGGCCAGCCCACTTGTCCTTGCCCGTGGCACGTGCCCCTCTGGAAGTTTCCATTGTGTGCATTTGCAGCATGATTGCGCCCCAGCTTTGAGAAGGGTCAGTCTCAGTCAGAGACTGGTTTACAGAGGAGGCAAGACTGGAGGCTGAGCATTCAGAGCTGGAGAGGATTTAGATGGGGGGACGTTGCTATGGAAACAGGGAGGCAGGTGTTGTTTGTTTGCACAGCAGGGCAGAGGTTGTGTGAGTGTGAGAAGGTGGACAGCAAGGGAGGCGCCCATGTGGTGGCCCTTGGTGGGTACAGGTGGCTGGGAGAGAGCCCCCAGCTCAGGGCAGAGGGCGGGGCTACCTTGGGCCGAGGTAGCATGTAGGGGTATGGCTAGTCAGGGCTTGAGAGAGAGAAAGGGAGAGCCAAGGGCAGAGGCCAGTGTTGTGTGGGTTTGTGGGGCTGCAGTGTTAGGGGAGGAAGGGCTGGCATGAGGCTGAAATCGACGGTATTAAATGCCAGCATGGGGTCAGACGTTTATTGATATAGGTGCTCGATAAAGTGAGTTCTTTCCCACAAAGTTCCCTTCTCCAGGTATAAAACCATCACCTGTACTCAGCACCTGATCTAATCACCTTGCTGTGTCCATCTTTCCCCCTGGCTCCTCCTTTTCCCCAGGAGCACATGGGATTCTTGTGCAGGTAACTTACAGCTTGCTGCTTCTTTGCACACCATCTTGGCATGATGAGGCCTCTGTAATTAGGTTGCTGCACCCATCTGTGGCCTCGTTTATTTTATTCTACTGGCGCATTTGCCTGCATGGGTTAGTGAGATGCTACTTGAAAAGGCCTCTACTTTGTCACAGATCAGCTCATCTGACTCCTTGATTTCCTGATTGTGTGAGGATGGAAGGGGCCTCACCCTCAGGGTTTATCCCAAACCAGGTCTTGTCCATGCCCATGACACCGGGGTTCCGGCAAGCCCTGCTCTCTCTCTTCAGCACCTGTGACCAGGCTTCCTCCCAAGATATACTTCTTAGGAGAGAGCTGGCTGTTGCTGCTAAGGTTTTGTCCCTCTTCCCTCAGGCCACTTTGGCAGCTATTACATTGATCAAGTTGCTCCTGAGCTGCCCACTCAGCGGAGAGAAGGCGAGTCTGTTCTGGCGTGTGAGCCCCCAGATAGTCATGGCTCTGACTGTAAGTACCCCTGGGTGTGCCCTCCGACTCTTCACCCCTGTTCCTGTGTGGACAGAAGGCTGCATTTCGGCTTCTTGCATCTCTGCCTTAATGCAGAGCGTGTTTCTGGGTGCCGTGTCCTAAAGACGGGTGCCAGTAGAGTGCTTTCCTGTGTGTGTGTGCTGTCTGTGGTGTGTCCACCGCAGAGATGGTGTGTGGGTGTGTCAGGGAGCCCCGGGAAGCAGTTGGTGGGCTGTATAGGAAGACACGCAGTGGTCAGATGGGGCTCCGTGGAAGCCTGCTTAAAGTAGGGGAGAGGAGAAGGAATTCTGGGTCTTGTTTTGTCCCCAAGAATTCTGAGGTCAGTTTAGTGCATTCATTCATTTGTAGGGGTGGGTATACCCTTAAAATCTATGATACAGTGAGAAAAAAGTGGCTTTATAGAATGGGATAGTGATGTTGCACATAGATTATTGTTACAGTCGCACCTGATTGTTAGATTTTGGCACCTGGTGAACATGCGTGGAGTCCCATGACTTTCTGTTTGACCTGCACAAAACCCTCGTTTTAATCGGCACTGCCTCAGTGTTTCTGCCCTCTAGAGTCTCCAGTCAGTATTCTTGCACTGGGGTTCAAAAGAGCAATATCTATTGTACCATCATTATTTGCTGTAATTCTCTTGTGCTGCCTGAGAGAACTGGCCTGGATGAGTGTGTTCTCAGGGCAGAAGGATCTAAGGAGCAGACTTAACGCTGTCTCCTCTTCTGGTCTGTTGCTTCGTTGTTTTTCTGGGACTCTGCATTGGTGGGTGGCAGTCGTCTTTCCCTAGTGAGTGTAGTGGGGACGAGGAGGGAGAGTGCTGGCTCGGGGCGGGGGAGGGGAGGGCTCGTGTGCTGTGTGATCAGTGTTGGTGGTGTGCATGGTAGGGCTGCATTAATACGCATGTTGGCAAATCTAACAGGGTGAAGCCATCACAGCCGGCGTCCCTGGGCAGATGGGCACCATGAAAGCCACTGTGGGGCTGCTGCTGACATGTGGCGGCGTGAGGAGGGTCACAGGAGAGCTCTCCCAGCTTCCATAGTCAGACCCTGGGCTGCCCCTCATCATTTTGAGTCCTGTCTCTTTATTCTCTAGAACAGTAACCAAACATCTTACCTAGAGCTGATTTTTAAGAAATGTAACAAAGGAACTTTAATTTATAGATATGTAAAACTAATGACCGTTTTGGGAAAATATTATTAGGTATATCTGATGTGAAGGTTCCTTGTTCTGAGAAACTGGGTGACTCAGTTCTTGTAAGAAATTATTTCTCTTTGAGGCACTGAGTCCAACAAGCCCACAGAGGTCGCCACTGGAGATGGAGCAGCGGCCTCCTGGTCTCTTCAGAAGGGGGCCTCCTGTCAGTTCATTTTGCACATTCTTGCCTCTGTCGCTTGAGTTCTTATTTCTGTCTGCTTCACGTGTTACATTTTCCCTTTAGAGAATCACCTTCATTTTCTTTCCTTTATTCTGTCTTTTTCCATAGCTGCAAAACCGAGAGGCTTGTCAGGAGCAGCCTGTGCCCCTGGCCGTGGTGGGGCCCATCTTGGACGTGCTGGCAGCCTTGCTGCGACAGGGGGAGGCGACCATCAGCAACCCGCACCACGTCAGCCTGGCCTTCAGCATTCTGCTCACTGTGCCCTTGGATCACCTGAAACCCGCTGAGTATGGGAGCGTCTTCCTGCGGGTGCACAACGTGCTCTTCTCCATCCTGCAGTGTCACCCGAAGGTGAGGAGGCGGGGCCGGCGCCAGCGGCAGCAAAGCGGCAGAGCTCACTGCTGGAGGACAGGAAAGCTAGTGGCTGGCTACGCACGCTTCTGGGTTCCCGTGCTTTGCAGGGCACAGTGGTTTCTCAGGCACAAAAATGTTTGATCTTCACACCAGGCTGTTTGAGTGAGTTTCATCTTTGTTGGGTCTGACGCTCAGAACAGCGTTTGTATACTAGCTATTTAAGGAAGCTCATTGTGAATTATTCTGTTTTTGCGGATCACTTATCTAAATGTCACTCACTTGCCTAGGTCTCTTCATGGGTTTATAACTCAGATGGGTGGGTGTAGGAAGTGAGGCGTCCTGAGTTAGTTTTACAGTACGCCGCCTTTGAAATTAAACTAAATGTCCCGTAGAAAACAGTCCAGTTCAGCCAACATGTATTGAACATTTGCTGTGTGTGTTGCTCCCCCCTTACAGCAAGCATGTAAAGTAGATCATAGTCCATTTTATTGGTAAAGGAACTGAGGCTCAGAGCTGCTAAGGGATATGACCAAAGTCACCCAGCTGAGTCTAAATCTTATTTTCAGGACTATTGATCTTTGGCCTATGTTTTTCCCAATGCATCAGTGCTAATACATGTGATGTGTGGGAACTATAGATACGCTGTATACATATAGATGCGGACACAGGTGAATATTTTTAACTGTTGTAATGTCTTCAAGTTAGAGACCTGACAGCAGTGCAGGTTTTTAAAAAAAAAATCCTCTGGTAAACTAAGCACTCATGACATTGGGCCTTACTCCAGTGCCTTCCCCGCTTATCAGTTGCCTTTGGCCCTGGCTGTCTTGTGTGCATCTTCGTTTTAAATCTCTCTGCTGATGGTTAGATTTTTTTTTTTTTTAATGTGACCGTATGATATGCATGCGGTACAAATCAATTAGGAGCTGAAATTGCTGGCCTTGCAAAAGACGCAGGATTCCATGCAGTCGATGAAAAGCAATATTAGAGGGGGTGCCTGGGTGGCTTGGTCAGTTAAGAGTCCGACTTTCACTTAGGTCATGATCTCGCAGTTTGTGGGTTTGAGCCCCGCGTCGGGCTCTGTGCTGACTGCCAGCTCAGAGCCTGGAGCCTGTTTCAGTCTGTGACTCCCTCTGTCTCTGACCCTCCCCTGCTCACGCTGTCTCTCTCTCTCTCCTAGAAATAAATAAAACATTAAAAAAAAAAAAAGAAAAGCAATATTAGAAAGCCATGGGAACCTCCTGCAGAACCATTAACAAATGATCATTTAGCAGAATTAGACCATTTAGTGAAAGGAGAAAATTGACAGGTATAACGACGGATTGTAGTAAAGCGTGACGTGACTCATAATAGCAGCTCTCACTCACTGCCTGCGAGTTAGACTGGGAAAGGGGGCCCACGTGGTGCGTGATCACACTGATGGCCGGGTGCATAGTTGAGCTGATAAAAGCACCAGGCTAGGATCTGCATAGGTAAATCCAAAGGGGCCGGCGTGAGGCCCTCTCAGCCGGGGTGCCCAGCACAGCGACCAGCAGCTGGTGCCGCACTAAGCCAGGCTGTGAACTCAGTCTGGCTCTAGATTCATGTGCTTTTAATGAGTTTGAGAGCAGAGGATTCTGAGGGGTCCTGGGGAAATTTGACGAAGCTCTGGAATTCTTCTGCAAAACTGAGTTCTTTCCGAGCATGCTGTGACGTTGCTAATTTGATGTAGAGAATGAGATGTTATGCTATCAAGAATTTGGTTGCATAAATTATACCAACGAAAAAAATCCCAGCGCTTGATTGACTCCTGTTCCTTCTAAGAATCCTGAGAAAAGAGCAGTGTGTCCCCTAGGTCTTGGAAGCAGTCGGGCATGTTCTGTATCCGCATTGTTCACAGCAGTCGCCAGCCACGTGTGTCCTGACCACTGATACGTGATCTAGGAGCTGTCTGACTAGAAACTGAGTTTTTATTTTACTTAAGTTTAAGTAGTCTCATGCAGCCCATGGCCGCTTTATTGGGTAGTGTGTTGTTTTGATTCCCATCTAAAAGGGGTTGAATATAGGGGCTCCTGGGTGGCTCAGTCGGATAAGCATCCAATTCTTGATTTCACGTCCTCATGATCTCATGGTTGTGGGATTGAGCCCCGAGTTTGGGCTCGGTGCCTGCTTAAGATTCTCTGCCCTCCACCCTTTACCTCCTAGCATACACACATGCCCTCTCTCTCACTCAAAAAAAAAAAAAAAAAAAAAAACTAAACTAAAATTTTTGTATCATTTTTCAAGATAAATTCCAGACCTTTTCATCACTAAAAAGTGAAAAGTTTTGAATCTTATTTTAAGTGGATTTGCTTTATACCATCTTTTTCTAGTGCAGTTATACTTGACTATGTTGGTTGTTGTTTCTTCTGTTATTTATTTTACCCATTTCCAGAATGCATTAGTAACAGCTTACAGTAACAGAAACAGATTGAGCAAATTCTAAACTGATCACTCTCTTAAATTCCTAAAGTTTTGAAGCTCGGAAGCCCTATCCCAAATCATTAAAACAAATGCTAAAGAGTCAAGTAAGGTGGATGAGCAATTTCCCCAGAAAGTTCAAGCAAAAAGAGATTGCCACACTGTTTGGAGCATCCTGATAGATACAATTAAGAAGGAAATAAATACAGTGCACCTGGGTGGCACATTTGGTTAAGCATCCTACTTCGGCTCAGGTCATGATCTCATGGTTCATGAGCACAAGTCCTGCTTTGGGTGAGCTTGAGCTCTGCTTCGGGCTCTGCACTCTCTCTTCCTGCCCCTCACTCAGTTGTGTGCTTTCTCTATCTCAAAAAAAAAAGAAAAGAAAAAAAATGGGGCTTCTGGATGGCTCAGTTGGTTAAGCATCTGACTTCGGCTCTAGTCATGATCTCATGGTTTGTGGGTTCGAGCCCTGTGTTGGGCTTTGTGCTGACCGCTCAGAGCCTGGAGTCAGCTTCAGATTCTGTGTCTCCTCTCTGTGCCCCTCATTGGCTCGTGCTCTGTCTCTCTCTCAAAAATAAATATTAAGAAAAAAAAAGTAGAACTTGAACAGTAACTTACATGTGCTTATGTTCTTTTGTCTCTTACTACAGGTAATGCTGAAAGCCATCCCTTCTTTCTTGAACTGTTTTAATAGATTGGTATTTTCAGTTATGCACGAAGGGAGGCAAAAAGATAAAGGTAATTAAAAGTAACAGTATTAGATACATGATTTCAAATGTGTTTATCTTTTGGTGGCTCTGTCTTCGTATGTTACGGAAAATAAAACCACCCAGTTGAGTTTAATTTTGTTTTTAATGTTTTATTTTATTTTTGAGAGAGACAGAGTATGAGCGGGGCAGGGGCAGAGAGAGGGAGTCAGAGAATCCAAAGCAGGCTCTGGGCTCCGAACTGTTGGCACAGACCCCAGTGCGGGGCTTGAACTCACAAACCATGAGATCATGACCTGAGTCGAAATTGGACACTTAACCAACTGAGCCACCCAGGTGCCCCTCACGCAGTTGAGTTTAAATAAGATATATTCAGATCACTAAATGAACACCCCAAATAGATTTTTTTAAATTACAAGCTGTCACTGTTTTGTTTTTGTTTTTGTTTTTGCTGTGTCCAAAGCGGTGAGTGCATTTTTGATTTAACCAAATTAGTTGTTTTTCTGGGAAAAAGAAAAGGCTCTAAATTCAAGAAATGTTCACTGTCATGTAGGAGGGATATAAAGTGAGTACCATCCCATTCTTGCCCTAGAGATGTCCCTTGTTTGCTGAGGAAGTTAAAAAAGAACAGGCATTTACAGAGCCGTTTCATTTTATTAAAGGGACGAGATCTGGCAAGTCACCATTTCAGCCTTATCTTGGCACGGTTGTGTTTGTTTACCAGTGAAGTGAACTGCCATGTGGGGATAGCACAAATTATGCGTACAGCTTGTGTTCAGCCTTGAAGGTTGTTGATTCTTGCAAAGTTTCTAATTTGGGGGAGATTCTCATTATTTAAAAATTTACATATAAATTGAGGCAGTCTATATTGCTCTATTTCAAATTTGCATAGCATGGAACAGACCCTACCGTTAGAAGTGCTGCTGAGCACACGGAGAGGGTGCCCGATGGAGTGCCCTGGGACCTCAAAGAGGGTGTCTAACTCAGGGGGTCTACAAGGCCTCCTGTGGCCACAGGTGTAGATGGACTAGGAACAAATGCATGATACTCAACTCCTCCCCCTCCAGCCTGAATCACTTGAATGGGTTCAGACTTGTAGACTTCAGTAACTGTTGCGAACAGAGAAAAGGGATGCGGGCCTGTCATTCCCAAGTTTACTCTGCTTGGTTTTGAGATGAGTCCGTGGTAGAGTGAGGTGTGTCGCTTTCTCCCAGCCCGGGGCAGAGCCTTGTAATGTTGGTGCCAGTGTGGTAGTGTGAATGTGTTTTAGAGCAGGATTGGGAAACAGGTTCCGTCTCCCTTGCTAGCCATGATCAGCTGGTGGTGGCTGATGGCAGCTCTGTGTCAGGGCCCCTGAGGTCATGACTGAGCTCAGCAGGAAGATTCCCTGTTTTACTAGTGACCCCTGCCTGCACAGGAGATGGGAAATAGCCGTGTAGGGAAGACCCTGCTCCACCCCTTGCTGAGCAGTGGGGGATCAGAGCCCTCCCCACACACTGCTACAGGCGTGTCCTGCGTGTTGTTGAAAACGTGTCCTTTGTCATGTGTTCCGAGGGGCGTGGGGAGTGGTCACGAGCATGGCTCTGCCCTGTCTGTGTTGGTGCAGCTCAGTGACCTACCTTCCGTCTGCCAAAACCCGGTTCTCTGATGTGCTCACAGCTTAAACGAGTAGAATTTTACCTTCGTACTCTTTTCTTGTTGGCATCTAATGCACTCGTTAATAACCACACATGAAATCTGTGGCCGTAATAATGCTGCGTATTCATGTGAAACGCATATGTGTGCTGAGCAGTGGGAACAGGGAAGAAACAGTACATACTAGATATCCAAGCACTTCACTAAAGTACGTCCCTGTTGAAATGTCCAGTGTATGTTAGAAATTTATGTAACTTGGCAGTGCCTGTGTGACTTAATTGGTTAAGCGTCTGACTCCTGATTTCAGCTCATGCCATGATCTCACAGTCGTGAGATCAAGCCCCTCATTGGGCTCTGTGCTGATAGCGTGGAGCCTGCTTGAAATGCTCCTTCTCGGCCCTTCCCTGGCTCATTCATGTGTGTGTGTGTGCTCGCACTCTCTCAAATAAACTAGGAAAAAAAAGAAACTTATATAATTTCATAAAGTTACATTGTATCTAGAAAAAATGCAAGATGTTTGTATGTATACACAAGGTGTTAAAAAAAAAGGCATTATGCGTTCTAAAACTCAAGTTTATTGAGTCATAAAATATGTGTAACAAGCTGCATCTGTTTAAAGTATACAATTGAATCAGTATTGGTTTTTTTGTTTTGATTTGAGAGAGAGACTGTGTGCACAAGTGGAGCAGGGGGAGAGAGACTCCCAAGTGGTCTCAGCACTGTCAGTGCAAAGCCTGACGTGGGGCTTGATCCCACAAACTGTACGATCATGACATGAGCCGAAATCCAGAGTCAGACACTTACCCGACTGAGCCACCTGGGTGTCCTGAATGAGTGTTGATAGGTAAACACAATCAAAATATAGAACATGTGCACTGTCCCCAAAACAGCCCTCCTGTAGCCTCTTCCTGCTCTGGCCCCTGCCGGCCACGGATCTGCTGTTTGTCACTAGATTTGTTCGCAGTTTCTAGAGTTTTCTAAAAATGGGTTTATTTCTTGCTGAATGAAAGTTGGGGAAGGTGTTCTGGCAGGTCCTGGGGTTCCCCACCTGGCTGTGTTGTGAAGGCCTCGGGGAGAGGCTGTGACCAGGGCCTTGGGGACAAGGTAGGCCCTTAGAGTTCTTGAGAGCAGTTTGTTAAGGCCTGGGGGTGGGGGGTGGGGTCCTGGCACCCTAAGGTGGGAAGAACTAAGAAATGGAAAGTAAAGCAGGGATGATAGGAAGACCTCTACTAATGGTGGCTGAGTCTTATATCCATCTGCCTACACAGTTTCTGAAACATAAGCAGGCAAAGGCATAATTAATTAGGCCTTTGATCTTTAAAACCATGTGATGTCAAAACAATGTTTTTTAAAGATAATTTTCCAACTTAAATTTTACTTATAGACCCCTATCTCCTTTTTAAATACAATAGCAATCAGATTTCATTCTCACAATCTTGATTATTCTAGGCCTCTTAAAAAAAAACAAAAAAAACACAACTGTGTAGTGTTGAGTATGTTAAGTGTTCTTTCCTTTGTGATCTAAATATTTGGATATATTGTCTCCTCCATTCTGTCTGCAAAATAAGGCAATTAAAGAGTCTGGGGAAAAAAGAGAAGACTTGAATAATTTTCAGCTGTATTAAATGTATAATGTTAGAAGGGTTAAAACGCCCAGGTTTTGTACTAATCAGTTTGGAAACACTTTCCTTCCACAGGAAGCACGGATGACCTATCGGTGGTCCTAGAGTGTGCCCGCCTGGTGGAAAGGATGTACAGCCACATCGCGGCTCGGGCCGAGGAGTTCACAGTGTTCTTCCCCTTCATGGTGGCCCAGTATGTCACGGAGGTGCAGAAGGTAAACCGAGCTTGCTCGCTCTCACCTATGCCTTCACGTGTAGTCCTTGGTAGAGGGCTCCTCACCACAGTGGCGAGCGACATTGGGCCCGATGGTCCCAAACCGTGCGTGGCAGCAGGCTGTCCTGCTCGTGTGCCGGGTGCAGCAGCTCCCCCCGCAGACGATGAGTGAGGGGACGTTCAAAGGCTGGCAGTGCTGGGTACACCCTGTACTCCTTGCTTTAGCACAAGCCTCGGGGCCTCTTGTAGTTAGTCTGTGGAGTGAGAGCAAGATGAAGTGCTCTCCAGGCTTGAGAACAGGCACTCTCACGGGGCCAGGCTTGGTGGTGACCCGGAACGGGGTCTCCTGGAGCGCATCACACATGTGAGTCAGCTGCTCTCCAACACTCAGGGTGAGGACACGGTAGAGAGAGTGGCAGATTCGTTCAGCCACGTGAAACAAAAATGCTTTTGTCCTGTTTAATCTGACTTTTTGACTCAATACCGTGGATAGTTAATTCATCGTGCAGCAGTGCTCTCACTGCGGAATGTCAGTGTGCTATTTTCTAAGTTCCACGAGGCCCTGTGTGACCTGCGTGTAGAAGTTCACAATAGGACTTCGTATCTGACTTTAAATGGAATGCCAGGGTTTTTAAGTCTAGTGTGTTTATGTGTGTGGCTGTCTACTTTGCAGGTGTAGATGTACATCTGTGGTGTTCGTATTGCTCTCTGCAGAATAGCCCCCCTTTGTAAAACTTGTAAGAGTAACGTTAAACCCATTGGTAAACTTGTCACGTTAGAGATTTCTCAAGGGAGATTGGGTTGAATGAGCTTTCTCAGAAAACATGGTGGTGTATCTGTTTTCATCCTGACCCCATTTCAGGACGAGTCTAATTATAAAAATAATTTTCAGACACACTGGCCTTGCTCTCTCAGCGAGCGGAGATGCTCGTCATGTGGGTGGGCACCTGGGTCTGAGATGGCGCGTGGGTGGGGAGGACCCTGCAGGGTGCAGCCCAGCCCCCGCAGCTGTGCACAGGGTCTCCCCCAGGCAGGGAAGGGCTGGTGGCAACCTGGAAAGACCCCTTCGAGTCAGCCTTTGAGTGAGAGATGGGCTTTGGGTTTGGTTTCCTTGGAATTACTTAGCATTTTTATAGAATCTTGAGATTTCCCAAGCACCCAAGTCATTAATATGTAAGCCTTTGTGGGAAGAAAAGCTGGCATTACGTTCTGTTTCAGTGAAGAATGAAATGGGAGCTAGTAATATCCCTTAACTAAGGACCAGGAAGGGAGGTGATAATTTGAACCCTTAAGTCGCTAATTATTATTCTGAGATTTACTTTATGAGAAGTCTCTGGTTTCTTGGCCTCATTATTCATGTCTAATTTATGCCTATCAGTTATTTTTTTATTTTTAATCTTGAAAGCTAAAGGCCTTGGGAATTATCTAAGGCTGTAGCATCCTAGAATTCATTGGCAAGAGTGTACATTTTATCTTTCATTTGGTTTTTAACTCAAGTAATAAAGAAAATATTCCATATGTATTCCATTACAGAGGCTTCTGCTAAGCGCTGTAAATCTTTCTAGACCAGAAAGACATTTGTAAGTTTAATTAAAGGCTAGAGAGCAGGTATAGCTAAATGGGGAGAGGGCATGGGTGCAGGTCTGGCAGTGGTGCGGGTAAGTGACCTGGTGAGACAAGCAGTGGCTCCTACAGATCTTGTACCCTCTGTGTAGTGATGTGTCACAGTGGGGATGTGCCATGGGTACTTTCCTCTTTTATCTGTAGATCAAATTTACAGCTGTGTATTTTGATAGCCTAGAGTAAATAGCTTTGTACTGCCCATCCTGCGTAAGGTCCTTTTAGGCTATTTAGAGATCTTTTCATTCATAGGTCAGTGATCCTAGTGTTGTAGAAACTGACGTTTCCCCCCCCCCCCTTGTTTTATAAATAAATTGTCTGAGACACAAAGATGTGAGGTGTTTGTGCAGACTGGATGCTACTGGTCTTCTGTGACCCAGCAGAGCAGTGTGCCCTGCACTGGCCTTTGACTGTTGAGTTCCCATGGGAGGGGACAATGGAGCTCACAGGACCTGGCCTTCGACTGTCGGGGTTCAGGTCTCAGTTCTGCCACTGGGAGAAGTACTTCACCTCCTTTGCCTTTGGAGGTAGAATTATTTGTCTAGTGAGTGATGAGTAGATGAATAAATGAGCAGTTAACTTCCAGTATCCACACTCAGCTAGTATGACTCAGTATATTTGTTTCATTTTGTTTTTTCCTTCCTTCCCTAATACTACTTCCAGTAAAATCATAGCTCCGCCTTCAGTCCTTGAGTGTTATTTTTTTTTAAATTTTTTTTAAATGTTTTATTTATTTCTAGGAGAGATAGAGACAGCGTGAGCAGGGGAGGGTCAGAGAGAGGGAGTTACAGACTGAAACAGGCTCCAGGCTCTGAGCTGGCAGTCAGCACAGAGCCCGACGCGGGGCTCGAACCCACGAACCGCGAGATCATGACCGAAGTGAAAGTCGGACGCTTAACCGACTAAGCCACCCAGGCGCCCCGAGTGTTATTTTTTTTAAGCTTATTAATTTTTGAGAGAGAAACAGCACGAGCAGGGGAGAGGCAGAGAGAAAGGGAGACACAGAATCTGAAGCAGGCTCCAGGCTCTGAGCTGTCAGCACATATCCCAACATGGGGCTCGAACCCACGAACTGCGAGATCATGACCTGAGCCAAAGTCAGACGCTTAACTGACTGAGCCACCCAGGCTCCCCAGTCCTTAAGTGTTCTTATCATCTATAAACAGTAAAACGTAGGACGATCGTCTATCAGACAGTTTTTGAGCTATCATGTGAAAATGACCGTAACTTTGAAGACGAGCACCATCTTAGTGACAGAAACAAATCGCCTCTTTAAATATTCTTTTTTTAAAATTTTTTTAGCGTTTATTCATTTTTTAAAAATTTTTTTCTGAGAGAGAGAGAGAGAGACAGTGTGAGCAGGGGAGGGTCAGAGAGAGAGGGAGGTACAGAATCTGAAACAGGCTCCAGGCTGTGAGCTGGCTGTCAGCACAGAGCTTGATGTGGGGCTTGAATCCATGAACCATGAGATCATGACCTGAGCCGAAGTCAGATGCTTAACCGACTGAGCCACCCAGGCGCCCCTACTCATTTTTGAAAGAGAGAGACAGAGCGGGAGTGAAGGAGGGGCAGAGAGATAGGGAGACACAGGATCTGAAACAGGCTTTGAGCTGTCAGCACAGAGCCTGATGCAGGACTCGAAACCACAGATTGTGAGATCGTGACCTGAGCCAGTCAGACACTCACTCGACTGAAGCCACCTGGGCGCCCTACAGATTGGCTCTTGAGGGACATACGTCCCAGCATTGCTTTGGCTTTGGTGACTCAGACTTCTGGTTAATACGGTACATTCTCACCAAAAGCCATATGTTTGCAGTTTAACTCTTAGGCCATTAAGACCTTCCTAAAGAATCTGCCAAATCCCAGGCCTGCCTGCGGGAACCTTCCTGTTGGTTTTGGTTACAGCGCCTGGGATATCCGACGGTGAACACCAGGTTCAGCTGAAACCGGAGCAGCTGTGGCAGGCGTGCACGGAGCCTGTCCCCTTGGCCTGTCTGTCCAGACGGTAGTAGGGACCTCTGGTCTGAGGGGGGGTGTGCCGCATCCAGTGTCACCAGGCTGGAGCTGGCTGCGCATCCTTCCTGCTGGGCCCCCCATTTTAGTTGACCCAGAAGCTCAGGGAAGAAAGGCCTTTCTGGGCTCAAAGACTCATTTGGCCGTTCTGGGGATGTTATAAATTTAGGTCCCATTGAGTCATTGTTGACAGAAATAAAAAGATGTACTAACTGTCATCATAAATCACGTCTGATTTGTTTGGATATGATGTGGTCTAAATACTAACTGAGGCCTATCACTGATCTGTTTGCAGAGCGTTGGAGCCTGCCCCCCGTCCCCTGCCCCCCTGCCCTGCTGTGTGTGCGGGGGCAGGGGTGAGAGTCAGTCACGTAGTGAACATCGCTGCTGGTATCCCAGTGAGAGTAGCTTGCAGTGTGACTGGTCAGGTTGAAGAATGTAGCACCATGTGCGGGTGGCCCTTATAAGATTTGTAAATTTAAAGGTTCTAGTTTGTATGTGCCCCTGGTAGGCATGGAGGCATCATTTACTGAACAGCAACGCTACCACTGTGGTTCTGTGATGTTTTATTCCAGGTTTTTGTCACTCAAGTTGGCTTTTATTTCCCTAAAATACAAACTTTTAAGATACGAATGCTTATATGCAAGATGATAATTTTCTCACCTTGGGGGCTGAAGTTGAAATTCCTGGTTGGGTCGGGTTGTCCGAGGCTTGTTCTCTGCATGTTTGCTCTGACAGAGGGGCGGGCCCTCCTTTTCCAGGTCACCCTGTACCCCGCGGTGAAAGGTCTCCTGCAGGAGGGTATCTACCTGATCCTGGACCTCTGCATTGAGCCAGACGTCCAGTTCCTGCGGGTGTCCCTGCAGCCCGGAGTGAGAGACATCTTTAAGGAGCTGTACAATGACTATGCGAAGTACCACAAGGCGAAGCATGAAGGGGAGAGAAGATATGCCGCCTGAAGCTGGGATCCTGTGGGGCGGCTTTGGCTCCCCACTCTGAGAGAGCTGGACAGTGAGACTTCAGGTGTCCTAATTTGTAGTGTTGAGATATGTGGGTTTATGTGACATATACTGTATTTTACAGGAAGCCATGTTTTCCAAACTGAATGTTTTTCTAATGTGTCTTTTTATGCAGTATGTGTTGCTGTAGAATCCTGATAATAAGGTGAATTTAATAAAAAATGGCCATTGTGGATGTTCCAAATGTGGTTTTGTCTCTGTCATCCAGGGGTTTGGTGTCTCTTCCCCCCACTGGAAGCTGTGTAGGTACCTGGCTCTGTAATTTAAGCCCCGTTTAAATACCGTTGCCTTTTATATCCTTCAGATAAGTTGGGAAGTATTCCTGAACTGTCCCTTGTTCTGCCTTCCCTCCGAGTATACCTTCTGATGGAGCCGGGGACTGTCGGAGCTTTGAGACTGGCTTCGAGACAGGCACTGAGGTGGCTGCCCGGCAGGTGGGGGTGTGGGGCGTAGACCCCTCCAGGGCTGCCTGTTCCCACCTGCTCTTCCTGCCTCAGCTCTCTGAAGTTTCTTTTGGAATTTTTTTGTTGTTGTTGTTTAGTCTAAGAAATACTCTTAATTATCGTTTCAAGATATCTAAGCAATATATTTTCTTGTGGCAAAACCTCCGAAAAGAAAAAGAAGGAAATTGTAAAAACACTCCTAGTATCAGCTGCAAACAGCGTGTGTCATCTTGCGTACCTTATTTTCATCCCTCTGCATCTATCTAGATGTATCTATAAGGAAATGTAAGTTGCCAAATTGGATCTTAAATGCAATTTTGTTTTGTTTTGGTTACCTTGCTTTTCCCCATGTAATACTGCAGTAACATCTTTGGGTGTATAAAGACATTGGAGATGCTTAATGGCTACCTAGTAGTCCATTGAGTCAGTCCCGTTGTTTACCTTAATAAATCTTCCATGGCTAGACATCAGGATCTTTCCAAACTTCCTTTTATAGCTGATGTTTGCAGCTGTTTCCTTCTATCTTTTTCCATAAGATGATCTCCCATAGTTGTATTGTCGCTCAAAACATCCTATCCAGTTTTTGTTTTTGTTTTTTAAATTTTTTTTAATTTTTAAAAATTTTAAAAACATTTATTTCTGAGAGAGAGACAGCATGAGGAGGGGAGGGTCAGAGAGAGAGGGAGACACAGAATCTGAAACAGGCTCCAGGCTCTGAGCTAGTTGTCAGCATAGAGACCGACGCGGGGCTCGAACCCATGAACCATGAGATCATGACCTGAGCCGAAGTCAGACAGTTTTAACTGACTGAGCCACCCAGGCGCCCCTTTTTTTAAATGTTTTTTTAACGTTTATTTATTTTTGAGAATGAGAGAGCAGGGGAGAGCAGAGAGAGGAAGACAGAGGATCCAAAGCAGGGAGCCCAGTGCGGGGCTCGAACTCCTGAAGCGTGAGATCATGACCGGAGCTGAAGTCAGATGCTCACCCAGGTGCCCCATAAAAAAATCCTATTCAGTTTTAAAGATTTATATAAATATTGCCAAACTGCCTTCCAGAAAGTGTACTAATTTATTTTCTTACTAGTGAATCAAGTTTAATATAATTGATTTTCTTGGTTTTATGCTTCCTTGATAGAGATATGTTATTTTCAATTTCTTTAGATACCAAGAGCTTATACATTTTTCATATTTACCTTTTTTAGATCTTATATAGACCATGTTTGTGTAATTATGTTTCTAATGTAATATTAGCCTGTTTCTCAGTTGGAGTATTTGCTTTTTTTCTTACTATCTTTGTGGAATTTATACTGGAATTCTTCTGAAATACAGACTTATTTGAAGGATCATCTCTAAGCAAAAGGTTTATTTTACTCTACTTTTTCAAGCACATATAATTGGAACAGACAATATAAAGTGGATTTTTTGGCTACCTACGAGAAACAGTTCACATTTCTTGCCCCACATTTGATTTTGTTTCTTGCATTGGCTGACTGAGCTGGGGCGATGGTTCCTCTTTGCATGCTACATGCCTTACCCACTTCCTTCCCTCTGTCCAGACAGTATGTGTGTAGAGGCTTCTAAGCTCTAGCAACCAGAAGTGGATTCAGATGGTCTGACATCTTTTTGCTTAATGCTCTGTATTGATGAAATTTTGTTTCTGTGCCCAATCCCCTGCAGGAACTCTGAGAGGTTGATGACGTTATTTCTTGTTCACACCTGGAGATGCTGTGTTGGAGCAAATAGGCGACCTTTCAAAGACACAGGCTGTAAATGAAGCTGGAATTAAAACCATGTTCTTGCTTTTACCGTTCTGGTCACAGGCCCAGATAGGAGGGTCGCTGGTCTCTGAATTTCCTCATGAAGTTGTACCTATTATTTTTTTCTGCTAGCTGTTCAGAGGCCAGAGATGAGCAGTAATTGGTTTTCTCCTGCGCTGGGAATGCTCATGGAGTGGGTGCCAACGCGGAGCAGTTCATCAGACGTCCTCACGGTGGCGCTGTGGGCCGCAACTCCAGGCCCTGCCCTGCTTTGAATCAAGCCCAGAGACACCTGTATATGAAGTGCTTGCTGCCTTGGAGGAAGAGGAATGAGGAAAAGAAGGCTGTCAACCCTGTGGCGTTCTAGCAGGCGGCCTTGGCCGGATGCCTGTCCCTGAGAAACACTGTCCACCGTCCTCATCATCATTGCTCGGGGATTGCTGTGACATCCACCTGGAGCCAGCAATCAAGTAACCATGATCCTTCCAGGGGGTGGTCACGGGGATGGGAAGCAAAGGAAACCAGCGCAGGGTCCGGCAGGGGTAGGCCTTGGAGGTGACGTTTGGGCTGATACGTGCCTGAGATGAGGGGATGATTGTTGAAGGGCAGGGGTCAGACAGGTTTGGGCAGAGACAAGGCCACCGAGGTGAGGGGGGCGTGGGGAAGGTTGGAAGGGAGAAAGCTTGATGTGGGGGCTCTGCCTGGGATGTGACTTCTGCAGGTGCTGCCGTGGATGGTAGTACCTCAAGTGGCCCAAAAGGAGACAGACCGCCAGCTGCCCTGTTCCCAGCCTTGACTTTGACCACTACCCATGCCCCACAGAGGGTAGGTCTTCACAGCCTGTCTTTCTCTACAGCCTCCTGAAATGTGGACCTTGCCTCCTTTCTCCCTGCTGCTCCTTTGTGGAAACCGCCCAATGCCGTGGAAGGATGTGAAGGCTTAAGAAGCAAAGACATGTTAAGGAGGGCGTGTGTATATCCAGAAGGGATTGGGTTGAGTCTTCCAAATAGTTCATAGAGGTGATTCTGACTAACTGCTAACATGCCAGGCTACAGCCCTGGCTCTTTTGTCTAATAAGCTCACATCCCTATGCTTCGAGTCTCATAAAATCCACCGCAAAGGCAGCAGCTGAGTCAGGGTTTGATTCTTTGTTCCCCGTTGGGTCTTCTGTCTTCTCAACAGTCTTGCTTTCTCTTGTTGATTCCTCTTCCCTTTTTGAGGGGCTCAAGTTTGTCTCGCTTCTTCTTTAACGGCTCTTCCTTTTCTGCTCAGCCTGTAGGTAATTACTGTCTCTCTGACGGGTGTGACCTGTCTTACCCTGGGCCGTGGGGCCGGAGACACATCTTGTCCCCAGCACTGTTCCGGACACGGCGCTGCATCAGTCCTCAGCAGCGTCTGTTCCCAGGCCCTCTGGCCAGCCGGCCGCGGCTACGCCTACTGCTCCCAGCCCGCTCCTCTGCACCATTTCCCCTCTTGTTGCCTCCTGGCTTCCACACGGAAAACCCTCTGATGCTGTGGCCCTCACATTTCCAGGGGCCTCCACCTCTGCTCTCCTTCAGCATCCATCTCTCCAGGGCGACCCTCACTCCAAGGAGCCAGGGTCCCTCCCACTCTGTACCACCTGCTCTCGGTCTGTCCGCCCTGTCGTCCCTCCCCCAGCCTATTCATTTTGCCACTGTGTCCACCATGCCCGTATTCCTGTTCCTGCATCTGACGTCTCCCTCCTTTGGCTGCTGTGACTTTGTCAAGCTCTGGAGAGGCCCCTACTTTATCCCACCGCTTCTTCCACTCGGGGGGGGGGCAAGCTCTGTTGCTATAGAAGGTAAGAGAATCCTGGTGATGATTCTCCATAAAATCCTCTTCTCTCTCCTCAGCTGGGTCCACCCGTTTGAAGGAAAAGATTTTTTTATTTTTATTTATTTTTTAAAAATTTTAATGTTTTATTTATTTCTGAGGGGTGGGGGGCAGCATGAGCAGGGGATGGTCAGAGAGAGAGGGAGACACAGAATCAGAAACAGGCTCCAGGCTCTGAGCTGGCTGTCAGCACAGAGCCCAATTTAGGGCTTGAACCCACGAACCGTGAGATCATAACCTGAGCCGAAGTCAGACGCGTAGCCGGCCGAGCCACCCTGGTGCCCCGGAAAAGATTTTTTTTTTTAATTTTTTAATGTTTACTTATTTTTGAAGGAGAGAAAGATAGAGTGGGAGCGGGGATGGAGACAGAAGGAGACTCCATCCAAAGTAGGCTCTTAGACTCTTGAATGCTGAGAACAAACTGAGGACTGATGGGTGTTGGGGGGGAGGGAGGAGATGGGCATGGAGGAGGGCACTTGTGGGGATGAGCACTGGGTGTTATATGGAAACCAACTTGACAATAAACTACTTGTAAAAGAAAATATTTCCCTCTCCCTTCAAGCCAGGTTAAATCTGAATTTAGGTTAAATTACTTTATATTCCTTTAGCTTCCTGCATACCACTTTTTGTAATATTTAACTCCCTTGAAATTATGTTTTCAATGTCATCCCTGTAAGGGCGGGGATCATTTTTATATTCTTAGTACCTGGTACAATGTAAGTGCTCACAAACATTTCATTCGATTGATAATTGATTCAAAGATNTGGGCATGGAGGAGGGCACTTGTGGGGATGAGCACTGGGTGTTATATGGAAACCAACTTGACAATAAACTATTTGTAAAAAAAAAAAAAAAAGTCGGCTCTTAGCTGTCAGCACAGAGCCTGATTCAGGGCTCAAACCTAGGAGCTATGGGATCATGACCTGAGCCGAAGTCAGACACTTAACCGACTGAGCCACCCAGGTGCCCCAAAAAGGTTTTGTTTTGTTTTTTTTTCTAATCAGAGGAAGAAGCATCTGTGAGATGTTATGGTTTAGTGGTGACTGGATTATTGTAATGGTTTTAGTACACGCACGGTTCTGGGTGATTGTATAACATAAATGTTATGGATGAGAGAAAGAGGTT